AAAGGAAACGAACCTCTCTTAAGTATAGAATCCCAAAACCATTCCTCCCATAAAAGTTGTATTGAAGCTGGAGCCTCTTCTCCACGAGAATGGGCTTTCTCCCGTTCGGTATTCCATTTGTTCGAGAATGAAATTTTGTCTGAGGTATCCACTGCACATAAAAGATGTGTACATGTCTTGTCGAGTGCCTTGAGATACTCTCCGCCGTTGCTCTTTGCTAGTTTGTGGATGCGTTCTCGCACGTCTGCTGTATTTATTCCTGTAACGCAAAATCGCATCCCTAGGAAAGGCAAATGTCTATGCTCTTCTATTAACGCTTCTAAAGAGAAATCGTCTGCAGTGAGCCATTTCTGGTGTGCTGTATAAACCCAGGATGGGTTGAGGATAGGAATGTTGCGTTCCACAGCGCACTAGGAAAGCGTAAGTCGAGATGGCAATGGGGGGTGATGTATCAACCTTGTATTTTTGACTCCCGGGACCATCAGCAATCAAATGAGTGGTCGCATCGGTAAAGTCGTTGGAATGAGTTCCTCCCATGCGCCGGACAAGCTCAAATAATTCCCGCTTTAAATGATATTAGCTGAGTTATGGAACAGAAATCAAGCGGATCACTTTATTCTTTATTCCTGTGGCGGATAGGACAACTCCTTTGAAAATGGCCCTCGAAACGCCTGGCGGCTTTATATCTTCCGCGTCATCCTCGTTGTCCGATTCTGCGTCCCATGAACAATGAACGAATTTAGCAAGACGAAACAAAGGTGCTCATTGCAATATGTTGAGCTCACCTATGACATTCTTCTTCTTGGTCTGTACATCTGCCGGCCTGAGCTTTACACCAGGGACCCTTACTGCTCCTCTAGCACGTCCCATGATTATATAAAGTAGTTTTTTCTCTTAAATTATTTGAAGCTGAAATATGAAACAAGTGAATACTGAGATCGTGCTTGAAGGTCGTGAAAGGTCCAAGGTGGTTCAGGCGGAGACTGAATCAGTCACTACCTCCATATCCATCGCGACATCCAGACACCATTTAACCTCCTTCAACCGACTCATAGCGCGTAAAAACGCGATGGAAGACGACTTTGTACCCGACTCTGAAGGCGAACAGTCGTTGCTCTTATCCCGCACTTCGTCACCACTTTCAACATCCCACGACGCGTCATTTGGCGAAGAACTTGAGAATGAGACTGGTAATATCCTTTTTAGTCATGTCATTTCTGTACCTTATCTCGTCCTTGTAGATGAACCCGTCAATAAGTCTTATACACTATCCAGCATATCTCAATTTACTTCGACCGTGGAAGGAAGTCTCAAGCCTACCTTCGAGTCTCCTATCAATCAATTCTCAACCAATACTACCAACTCGACTGCCAAAAAGACGCGTAAAGGAAATAAAGACTCACAAAATTGGGCTGAACCAATCACAATTGACCTTAGTGACAATGAATCCGTTCCACCAAGAAAGTTTTATAAACCAAGCGGACGTGCTTTCTCCATTGAGATTCCTAAACACCCCGCGATAGTAGGTTCGTGTATCTCCAAGATCGTTCCTACTCACCACTTATAGTCTAGTAGGCTGGAAAGAGCATAACGAGACCGACTCTCGAAAGGATACGAAACCTAAACAGAAACGGTCAAAGCAGCCTAACTCTGATGAATCAGACTTTGAAATTCAGGAGATAAGCGAAACAGAAGCCAAGTCATATCGTAAAGGCAAGACTCGTCGAGGAGCGCTGGATGAGACTCCGATAAATATTTCCTCACCAGTAGAGCCCGTTCCTGAAGAGCCAAAGACAAAAGGCAGAAAGAAGAAGGTAAAGAAGGGGAAGGAGAATAGTAAGTAACAGACGAGCTCAGTCAAAAAGATATGCTCAACAACGATCAGGCCCTGAACCTTTTCAAGAACCTCTGGATGATGCTGACGAGGTACCCCCACCGAAGAAATCTAGAAAACGCAAATCTCCCGAGCCCGACATTGCCGAATCTGTGAAGCGTAAAAAGCGACGGACTTCAGGCCCTTCTGTTGACGAGGACTTTACTGCAGTCACCAATGACATTGATGAAGAGGAAAGCATTGCCCCTGCTATGGCCAACGAGGAAGCAACAGAGAAGCGGTCGACTAAAAAGTCCAAAGGCTCGAAGGACCGTCCCAAGAAGCAAAAGCGGATTATCCTCGACTCAGAAGCTGATAACGACTCTGCACCGGACGAGCTATTGTTAGCGTCAGAACCTGAAGAGGTCATAGAAGAGCCCAAGGTGAGAAATCGGGTAGTTCTGATTATATCAGCCCTAATATATCATAAAGGCAACGAAAAAGAAAAAGGGGCGAAAGAAGTCTCCTTCTCCGGTTAGGGAACAAACACCTCCTGTCGAGGAGGAGGCACCCGCATCTCCTCCAAAGGAGCCAAAGGTGAGACTTTTGCAGGATCTTAGTTGCATCAATGTCTAACATGTAACTAAGACAACGAAAAGGAAAAAAGGGCGAAAAAAGTCCCCTTCACCAGTCAAGGAATCAACACCGCCTGCCGAGGAGGAGGAAGAGGAGCAACTCATATCTCCTCCGGTGCTTGTTGAGCAGGAAAGCCGTCCACCGCAACCGAAAGTCGACTCGAAACCGGAACCTCCCAGTAGACCTCCTCCCCGGTTTTCACTGGATTCAACAGCCCCCCAACATCACATACCAAAGCGTGGATCCATCTCACACCTTTTACAAAGAACTGGATTACACGCACCTTTAGCCTCTAGCAAGCTTACACGACCAACTGCCTCGCGCATCGCCCCTCTCCACCTCATGCGCAAAACCCCACCTCCATCTCCACCGCGCATTCCCAAGCCGAAACCCAAGAAGAAAAAGGACGAAGAGAGTGAGGAAGAGGACTTTACTGGTATGACTGAGAAGCAGATTGCCAAGTACCTGGAAGAAAAGAAGAAAAAGGCTTGGTATAGTCCATGAGTTGCTTGTGTTGTTTTCGCCTTGTGATACCTTATCGTTATCCATAGTGTAATCCAGTGTTCAAATATTCCTATCAACTCGTGTTGATCAGAGAACTAGAGCAGCCGGCCAGAAGTTGTCTAATAGAATGTGGTGCCTCGACCTTGGAGAGGACCGCAATGGCGGAGTCGCGCGCCTGTTTAAGTCTAGCGCTCGCCCTATCATTTGTACCCAAGTTCAACATACTCTTCACCAGATGACTTGGACCCTGCCCTATACAGACTCCCAACCATAAAGCAAGGAATCCTCGTTCTATCGACTGACGAGCACACGCACATTCGCCGCTTTCTCTTATTATGTCTCTGTTGGGCTTTGTTCTGAGCAAGGTACTCCCGGCACCCAAGGAATGCATCTTTTGCAAAGCACGCAAAGGACCAGACTTCAACGTTGTCGCAGAGGTATGTTGTTTTACAGTACATACTCCCGGCTATACCTATCCCTGCATTTGTTGCCCGAAGAACGTTTGCAATTCGCTTTGTAATGAACCGGCCTCTATCTTTGCTTCTGCTTTCACTTTGACTGATAAGATTACCGGTTATTATAGGATGATAATTACATCATGTTCTCGGACATACACCCGGCTGCTGCGCAACATTATCTGATTGTTCCCAAGAAGCATATCGGTATGTTTTCTAGCTAGGTAGAGGGGATGAACACTGACAGAGGGATCCTTAGAAAATATTCAAACCTTAAAGAAGGAAGACGTGGGGATAGGTGCGAGTTTCGTGAATTGGCCTATCATTCGAATTGAATATGATGGATAGTACACGATATGCTGAACATGGGGAAGAAATACTTTGGTGAACAGGGAGTCCCTAAAGAAGACCAGAGGTCAGTTTACTCTTTAAATGTCCTTTGAACATACCTAATCTCGCTACTTTCAGGTTCGGCTTCCACATTCCCCCTGCGGTTCTCATCAATCACTTGCACCTTCATTGTCTCGCTTTACCCCTAAAGGGTATGCTGAGCGGGTACATGTTTAATGTGGCAGAAATCAAAGACCCTAATCATCTCAAGGGATGGGGTGTGTTTGTAGAAGTCCAACAAGCAATCAAAATACTAGAGAAAGAGGGAACTTTTACTGTATCCGCGGTTACTGACCCCCTCGCATCCCCCCGGCTCTAATCATATCTCTATCCGCCACAACTTCCTCTCAATTTTCACCGTTCCTGAATCAGGCGTAGATGCAGTCCGAAAGCTAGCTTTTGGTGCACAATCGGCTGGCCGTGCAATAGGTCAATTCCCTGTACTATCTCCCTGTTGTTTCAAAAAATAGTTGTGCATCTCTTTTCATATTCGTCACATTTTATAAAGGTTTGCTACGGTTTTTGTCCGCATAGGCGTTGGTGATTTTTGGCAGCGATGAAGCAAAGGCCTTCACTAGCAAACTCACAAGCTTTTAATTCAGTAACGATGAAAGTAGAAACGCATTCTCTGATAGAACGAGCCTTTCTTTGTCCACAGATCACCTTCATAAATTTCACGGCTACAGAGGGGAAGCTAACCATGATATTAAAATGGATTCATTACAGAAGATCCGAGTGAAAGCTTGAACTATTTGCCTCCAATCTACGGCTCAGACTTCGGGAATTTCCGACACGATATCGTAATTGTTGACTAGAAGATATTCACTAAAGATGAGAAGTGAGAAAAGGATCGAGAAAAATAAACATACGCACATGAGTCTTGAGGCCTACACTCCAAGATGTACGAATGGGATCCACGATGTCAGAGGAATTCCTCCCTTCTTACGGAGTCGTTGTATGGAATAGTGTAGTGCCTCCGCTGCCTTCTTGTTATCCGGTCTACCTCCATTCGTCATGATGTATCGATAGAACTCGTTCGCTACCTCTGGAGCTAGATTGTCCTGAATGGACCACATCGTAGCCACGACCCCTCGATATCCAGCGAGTAACATTCCTCCCGCGATATGCACCGCTTCGTCTGAGAGCGTCTCTTCTCCGGTCGTCGTTTGACATGCCGACAAGAATGCAAATTCTGCATTTGGAAGGTCAAGCTTGATTATCTCTTCGAGGGTCAAGTGGCCGTCTTCAAGGATCAGGCCGCTTTTCGTTGGTTCGTCCTGTCTCTGCGACCCATGGCAAGCAAGATGAAGCCAGTTACTGTCCTTCATCGCTTTCATTACTTGCTCCTTCGTCCCCTCCTGGCCGTCGAGGACGATATGCTTCCGGTCACCGAGATGTGCTTTGATGTATTTGAGCTCTTCTTTGGTATTTGGGATAGACGGAACACCGGGAGCTGACGGCTGAATCACTGATAGTAGCTTGAACTGTGATTCTATGGCGCGGTCATGGTCAGCTGATTGCAGAAGAGATGATAGCGTGGGTGTATATGACGATATGACGTAGTCACTACTATGAGAATCAATGGATTGATCGTCCCATATACCTGCGGCATGTATTGGGAGAAATGCCAGTGGTCCAGTGGCACACCACCAGATACGTGGAAGCACATCCGGGTTGGACTGAATGGTATCATCAGCTGACGATGTAAAGCTGAAATATCTCCTACCGAAAATGCCAAAGAATCCAATACTGGCTTCACCAGTCCATTCCAAAGCTCGGCTAGAATGGGCCTGCAATCTTCGATTTCATCGTCGTCTC